ACACACACGTATATATATATATATATATATATATATAGTATATATAAGTATTCCTGCCTTTTTTCGGGCAGAACTAAAGCTAAGCCTTAGTCTTTCATTAAAAATATTTTTGGAATATTTTAATTAGAAGACTCAATGAGAATTTAATAAGAAAATCCACGTTTTTCTTCTGTTTCTATAATCACTGTCCCCTCCTTGCTTAAGAGGACGCCATACCGCGTCGCAAATTCTCTTTTTCCTTCATTACTATAATGAAGAATTTAAAGGAAAGAAGTTCAGGCTAACCTAGAGTAAGTCATAAAGAAAAAAATATTTCAAAATGCAAATAAATTATTAGAAGAGAACTTCACAGGTACGTAATCCTAAATTAACTTCTCATAATTTATTTTTATTTGTATGTTTGAAAATTTTATTTTTAGTAATTGAAACTTCGTGGCTTACTCTAGGTTTGTCTCACTTTTTCTTTAAAATTAGTAATGAAAGAAAAAGAGAACCGCTTTATGGCATCCTCTTAAATTTGGTTATCCTCTTTGAAATACTTTTATTCATTTCCGAGGAATTCAATATACATCATTTTAAAAAAAATGAATTGATTTAAAAATCTTTTTTATAGTATTTGAAATTTCATGGTTTACTCTAGGTTTGTCTCACTTTTTCTTTAAAATTAGAAATGAAAGAAAAAGAGAACCGCTGTATGGCATCCTCTTAAATTTGGTTATCCTCTTTTAAATACTTTTATTAATTTCCGGGGAATTCAATGTATATCATATTAAAAAAAGAATTGATTTGAAAAATTTCTTTTCAGTATTTGAAACTTCATGGTTTACTCTAAGTTTGTCTCACTTTTTCTTTAAAATTAGTAATGAAAGAAAAAGAGAACCGCTGCATGGCATCCTCTTAAATTAGGTTATCCTCTTTTAAATACTTTTATTGATTTCCTAGGAATTCAATATATATCATTTAAAAAAAATAATTGATTTGAAAATTTTTCAATATGATTTCCGGATTTTCGACTTGAATTTTTATTTTTTCTCACTTATATGTTTCTCAATGTAAGCATATGTAATGCTTTGAAAAATCAAAAGAATAAATAAACGGAAAACACTTTGTTATTTAAATTTTAGTACCTAAACATATACGTGTTATTATAATTTTATTTTGAAAAGCCAGCTGGTAGTGATAGTGAATATGGGTGTAACCATTAATATAATGTAAATCAGAGAAACCATAGGTCGATCGCTATGCATCGAATTAATGACGATATTTTAATTTATATCACTTATTATAAACCGTAAATTAAGCATAAAACACTGTGGCATATCAATTGTACAATTTTTAAGTGCTATTAAAAGTTTTAAAAATTATTCAATTTCGTCCGTCTTTATATAAAGTATGAATGCACCGCTCAACTGAAAGACCAATCATCGGTGTTTTCAATTTCTGGACACATATTTCAAAATATACGGTGTTTAAGAAAATGGACACAGCTCAAAATGCGTGTTTAAGATAATGGACACAGCAGAAAACGAGTGTTTAAGAAAATAAAAATAGCTCACAATGCGTGTTTGACACAGATCTAAAGCTTTAAATGTGTATATAAGAAAAAAGACATATTTTTATAAATATTGTTATTTTTCCAAAAAAAATAAACTAATGAATCGAAACAAATTTGAAATGGGATATCGTCCACTTGCATAAATCTCTTGGTAAACTATATTAAATTAGTTTCTTTTTGAAAAAACGTTAAAAGGCAACAAAATAGTTTCTTCAAGTTCGCCGCACCCGGCTCGCACCGACCGCAGTGCTGACGTGAAATATCCTTAGTGGTTGATGGGTCCCCATGCCATCAGGCTGACAGTGGGAGGTTTCAATGGTTTTCCTCTACATATAACGCAAATGCGGGTTAGTTGCATCAAATTTCTCTCATGGAATCTAGATTGGGTTCAAAATATTGAAGGCTACTTAGTTAAATATTGAATTGGGTCGGCTGTTCAACGACGGTTATAATATGAAATGCAAGGATGGGCACACCAATGAGTTGACGCAAAATATCCACACTGGTGAACGGTCCCCTTGCCATGAGGCAGATTTTCCACTCCTTCAAAACAATCTATATAACCTCCAAAAACATTATTTGTAGGTTTCTTTAATGAAAATATTGCCTAAGAATTATATAAATAACTATCGATCAAAAGAAAAGGAGTCAAAATTGTTTGCCACTATTAACTATTTTGTGTGCAGAGATTTAAAAAAAATATATATTCTCTATGAACGGGTTGGTATGATTACAATAACTTGGTTGAATACTTAGAATATTATAGGTAATGATCTTTTAAAACTAAAGTGGCTCTGTTAACAAAACGAGAGAAAAACTATTTTATGAAAGACCACAAAAAGTTATAATTTATTGATCTAGAAATGATATATCTGATTGTCAATCATTTGATCTCGAAACATTTTTTTTTGATTTGGAAGAGAAGAATCAATTGGTTCTGCATATATGTGAGTTGAATAAAAATCTTCAGTCTTCTTATTTTCGAATGGTTGTGCGTAAACTGGATCCATTGAACTTAATTCCATTGCATCATTTGACTGGAATACTGTTGACTTTAAATAGAGCCTAAAAATCAAATTTTCTTTTACTATAATTTATGGATTATCAAAATGGTTTCATTTGATGCTCTCAACATATTTATCGAAACTGTAAAAACATTTGTTTGAAAAATTTGCAAATCTATACTTTTGTTGTATAGATTGAGCCCTTTTTTTAGCTACGTTTTATTTTATTTTATATCCGCCCAATTTTTGGGTTCAAGCCTTTCCATCCAATTTAGAAGACAAGGAAACTGCTGGATCCCTCAGAAGTATGATTTGTTAGAGGAACAACAGATTTAACGTGCATCAGTCACTATTTACTACACGTTTTCGGCCGACTTCTTGGACATGGAGCCCTACCAACAAGGCTACCCTGGCCATTTTAGCTATGTTTGTCGATTCCTTGAACATTTTTGATTTAATTGATTATTTACTCACTGGTTACGACAAACCACCAAAACTTTATTCAAATCAATCAAACAAGAGAAGAGACAAAATAAGGTTGAAACAATAATTAGTTTACAAATTATTCTTGTCTTCTGTGAATTCATTTTCAATCAACAGAGTATTCAGGATAATAATACTTAATGAGTTGATACAAATCTAAGTGAAATGCTAATAAGGATCCAATAGAGCCTTCGAATGCGGTGAATCTCAGCGATGGCTTGCACCAGCGCTCACATGAAATATCGTCAGCCGTCATGGGAGGTTCTTGAGGTCTCCGTGTTAAGTAAATGCGGATTAGTTCTCCACGAAGGGAAAATTTCTCCCAAAGGAGTTCCCTTGTCTTCTGGATTGGGTTCAATTTACAAGGATACGGAGTTGAGCATTAGTAGTCGTAAGCCCAAAAATTGGATCGGCTGTTCAACGACATTTAGAAAATTTTTTTAAAAAACCGTGCTTCCTGCGACAAAACAAAATGAGCATTGAAAGAACTATTTAGAAACTGAAAGTGTATTAGAATTGTTTCTTTTTTAGAACAGGAATCCTACTAAAACCATGAAAATGTATCGCAATTTAAATAAAACCGGTTCTTCATTTTTAAGTTTAACTTTTTATTCTACCTTACAAAATAACAAACAAAACAGACCCGATCTTAAAGTAATGGCAAGAAACTTGCATAAGAAAGTTAACCCATACAATCCCTGGTCAAATTATTCGACACACTATAAGATTCTATATAAAATCTTAATTATCAGGTGATACTATACAACTTTATTGTTTTTATGCGACTGAAACCGGTTTGCACTTATCGTGTATTAATTGTTTAGTATTGTAATGAAATACATGAAAAATAAATACAAATAGGAAATATATAAAAAATCTCCTGAATTAAAGCCCATTACATGTATATTTAGATATAAAAGTACTGCGTATAAACTCGTGCAAAACGTGTCATTATTAAAACACTACAGTGAGTCTAATAATTTGGTCTAAATATTATAATATACTAACATAATACCTGATATAATAAATATTCTATATTTATATAATATATCGTCTCCCTTAACCAATTGATACATGAACGTAAACAAGTGCAAACCGGTTTCAGTGGCGTAAAAACAATAAAGTTTTATAGTATATATTATATGTTTTATATTAAAAACAATAAATACACATAATTTTAATCACATAATTTTAGAGATTCAAATAATGCCGTAAAGCTAAATTAATTCTTATTTTTCAGAGAGTGAGTTCGTGCAACGAAGCCAATTCTATTTTTACTGTGAAAATATAATCTTATAACATCTGAGTGATACCAAATATTATCCAATATATTGACAAAGCACCGCTGTGGTTGTGAAATAATATGCGTGTTACTACAAAAGTACAATTCCAACTCGATTCTTTGTTCATAGATGACTACTAATCCTACATTGGTGACTTGATGTGAACACCTTCGATGGATGGTCCCCATTAAAAAGTTGACTTGCTGCTTGTAATCCTCGTGACTCACACACAAATTTGGCCTCTATATTCTCGACTGCTAATGGCAACACAAAAGCGAACTTAGTACAGTTCTCACAATCAGCTCTCGAAGTCCTGTGACCTTAATGCAGCTCTCCTGGCTCCTCACAAAACAGCAACGAATCAACTGATGGTTTTCGTTCATGGAATTCTATCACAGATATAATTGTGGTGGGGGAGTACTGCAGTGTATCTACCACTACAAAAATACAATTCCAATTCGCTAGTATATAAATCATGTTAATTCGATTCCATGTAGGGTCACTTTTTCATAGATGAAGGTTGACGTTGATTACTATCCCTACAAGAGGAATGATTCTTAGCAGAAACCGTTAGAAATCATATCAAAAGTTTTAAACAAATGCTTTTAAAATATTTATATATAATGGTGGTCAGAATTAAATAAAATTTATTGAACCTAAAATCGAAGCATAGCTTTTGAAACGTCCGGTAAGGAGATTATATAAAATTCGAAAGAAAAATTGTAAACACATTTATTTCTATACATACCTCTTTTTCAATAACAAGACGCACAGGACAAGAAAAAGAATTGTTGTTCCAACTCCAACTGTTGTTACTACCAAAAAAAAAAAGTTTTTGTATATATATTGTCGTCTAGAATATATATTTAGAAAAATATTTCTTTCTGCATAAAAATAATGATACCTACATAACATAGAATTCAATGTCCACATTTTCAAGTCACCTTAAAAATATTCAAAAAGAAGTAAAGTTAGATCTTTTTTGAAACCCTCTAGAAATATTAAACAATTTATTGAAAAATTTCTTTTTTAAAAATAAATAATATTTCGTAACCCAAGTAGCATAGGGATTGGTTGATCAACATTATGAACGTTGAAGAATATCGCAGATATTCTATTTATATAAACTGCTGTTTGTAGAAAATGCAACACCATGAAGGAATCATCAGAATCAAATGAAATATTATTTTAATAATGGATGTACTGATACAAATAAATGATGAAATTTTCAAAACAAAAGAAACAAATTAAGCGTCCGAAATCAGTATTTGGTGCAGCCACCACGCGCTGCAATAAGTGCTGCTATACGACGTGGCATGGAGTCAAACAGATGTTGAATATCTGCTTGAGGAAGAGAATTCCATATCGCTTGTATGCGCAACCAAAGTTCGTCTTTGGAAACTGCAGGACGCGGATCACGAGTGAGACGCCGACCAACCATATCCCACACGTGCTCAATAGGCGACATATCCGGCGAATAAGCAGG